TTGCAAGTGTTTTTGCTATATTTAGCACTTTGTTTTGCTCCCTGACCTTGAGCAGGTGTGTTCCACACGGGGAGTGAGAAAGCCAGAGAAATGGATGAAACAGACACAAACTGGCAGGTAGACCTCAATGCAATGTGGTTTGCTTGATGACCTGCCAGAATGGCTCGATCACACCAATGGCAGCAGGGTCTTTTGTTTTCCCATCAGAAAACGGGGAAGACAGCAATACCACAATACATGGGGCACGTGCCTGTGTGCAAATGGCCGTTCTCTTAATGATGCTTTCTGGTGTTCTGCTGACAAAACTGCTACTAAACACATCATAAACTCTCAGGGGATGTTCTGGCTTTTAAAAACAAGAGATACAAAATGAGCCCGGGGGTAGAATTTGGTTATTACAGATCTGGATTTTTCTGCTGTATTTCTATTAAGAAGCCAATGAAGCAAAACAGTGGAATCAAAAATCCATTTATCCATTCCTGACTGTTCGTTTGATGTTAGCTCATTGTTTTGCATTGTGTTTTGCTAATAAGGTCCTAAAAATGGAATTCATTGGAAAATTCCAAAATCGAAAGCTTCATTTTGCTCTATAATTAATTCCACTCATCAAAAGGACTGAGCAAAACGATGAGAGATTCTCTGCGATCAAAACTTTTGTCTCCTGTCAGCCCTTGAGCAAAGGCACACAATGCTATGCAACTGCCCTGCGCGCTATTCTCCGGTCTCAGCCTTTTTTCTTCCAGTGCCGTGGATGGAGAGAGCATGGGGGAGGGGTGGTGGTGGAGAATTGTTCCCTTCTTTCTCTCTCCTCTTCCCAGTTCCTGCACTAGCATGTTTTGCTATTCTCTAATATTGGTATAGGTGACAAGGGGCCGATGATGGCCGAGCGTCCTCAACCCTATCAGCTGTAGCATTGGATTTCCATTTATTCTCTTTATCCGGCACTGACACTGCCATCTCCCATCAAGCCCAGAGGCGAGCCCACTGTCAATACCGATTTCTCTTTGAGGACCTGCCATGCTAGGCTAATGCAATCTCATCAGCTCATTAAAAAGTTGGACATGTCAGACAGGAAGTGAGAGGGATAGGCAGAGTGAAAAAGAAAAGAAAAATCATCACTACTAATATTCCCTGACTTCCACTGTGAAAAAGAACTACACTTTAGCATACAGTAGGGTGACCATACGTGCCATTTTCCCAGGACGCGTCCTGGCCAGGATTTCTATATTGCCTAAAATATCTAGGTTTTGGCTTTGTTTGCGTGTGCAGACCGATCGGTGTATGACATCAAAATACCTCGAGAGCATTTTGAAAGCATAAGGAACTGTCTGTGTGGTATTTTGATGTCATACACCGATCGTTCTGCACACGCAAACAAAGCCAAAACCTAGATATTTTAGGCAATATAGAAATCCTGGCCAGGACGCGTCCTGGGAAAATGGCACGTATGGTCACCCTAGCATACAGTACTTTTAAAAAGAATACGTATTGTGGAAATAATATACTTTGAGGGAATATACCAGAGTGCAAACTTAATGTGATGCTTTCAGACACTTTCTTGCATGTTTATTGCAACTAACTGAAAATGTATTACAGTTTAACTGCAACATATATTAAATGCAATGTGCTGAACTTTAGAGTATTTTTCTCACCCACTCTAGTAGGACTTAAGTACAGCTTTATATGTAATTTCATAATTCTATCGTATTTAAAATAAAAAATGGTTAATGTTTATGGTGAATGTACTGACAAGGATTTATGGTAAACTAATATATACAGTACTTAATTGCCATTTCTATTGAAACTTGTATGATGTGCATTTAAATATATTTTTAATTACACATTAGAAACGATGAAGTTGCAATTAAGTACATTTAAAATATATTAACATGAAATATAATATTGAATAACACACTACTGATAAAATTATAATCAAGTACTTTTCATGGGCTTTAGTATGCTAGTCAACACATCAAAATAAGTGTAGTACTGTGTAGAATGCTAAAAAAAATATTAAAACAATGATTCAAAATGTTCATTAAAGTAAAACTTTTCATTTGACATTATTACAAAGTCTACTTACAGTAAATGTGCTAAGAAACAGTGATGAAAGTGTCTCTCTTGAAGTACACTGAAGTGGCCTTTTATTTCATTAATATTCTATTATCTGCTAATACGGTATTTTAAAAATATCATTCTTTTTCACAAGGGTTTCTCTGCCTGAGAATACAGAGTTTTGTGGAAGAATAAAATAGGGTGAATTTAGGGCCATGTTTTCACATTCATGTCAAAAAAGCTTTTTTGCTCTTTGTTCATTTCTCTCAATTATCCATACACTTTCATTCTTCTTTGAAAGAAATATAGGCTACACTCTTAAAAATAAAGGTGCTTCACGATGCCATAGAAGAAGCTTTTTGTCTAAATGGTTCAATAAAGAACATTTAACGTTTGAAGAACCTTTCTGTTTCACAAAAGGTTCTTTGTGGCGAAAAAAGGTTCTTGAGATTATAAAAAGGTAAGAAGGAGATGGTTCTTTAAAGAACCTTTGACTGAATTGTTCTTTGTGGAACCAAAAATGGTTCTTCTATGGCATCGCTTGAAGAACCTTTTGAAGCACCTTTATTTTTAAGAGTATATGACACTGAAAGTGCTTCTTTTTTCTTCTTTTTTTTTTTGTATATTAAGGGACCATTTTGATCAAGACAAAGGTAAAATAATGTGGCCTAGTTTATCCCATTCCCATACACAATACCGTTATGAATTTAAATTATAAATAAAAGATATCTCCTTCTAAAGGTACATTCTGACCAAATGGGTGCTTCATTCAAGGTTAATAATGTGTTTGTTTGGAGCCTTTTACTCTAGTTTGACTCTAATTTGCAAACAGTAAACAGAAAAATGGGACCTATTCAACATTTACATTTATTCATTTGGTAGATGCTTTTATTCAAAGTGACTTACAAATGAGGAACATCAGAAGCAATTTACCATAAGAGCCAACAAAATTTGCAGAACACAATGCTAGACCAGTGTCTTATGTTTACTCTCAAAACATGTGCATACATTGTTTCTCTTTGAGTAAAGCAGCTTGTCACTGTAGTACACTTAAAGGGACAACTTTGTATCTTATTTAATCCTAAAAGGCTCATAGTAAGCTCATCAAGATAATCCTCAAGAATATGACTACTCTAAAGTATGAAGATGCACCTTTAGTTGTTGTACCCCTAGTTTTGCAAATTGTTTTGACTAAAAACTAAACAATAAATGAGATTTTCGTTTTTTCTGGTCATGTTTCATGAGCTACTCCGTTGGTGACCCTAAAACAGAGGTGTATGTTGGACAACTGTTAAATTTCTGTTTCAAAAAACGAAAATAAAGGTGGCATTAGTGCAAATGGAACTATAAATGGGCTTTAAAATAGCTTTAAGAGCATTCTGTAAAGAGTGAATGCAGAATGCAGAATCTGTTCCAGTGTTTTTTTTTGTTTTAGAATAGATACAGATACAGTCCTTTTGAAGTGACCGTGTCCTGCCAGAGCATTGTTAGGATGTTGCTGGCAAAGGTCAAAGTTCATTAAGAAATGCTTGATCTTTTGATCTGTTTTGTTCACTGTGACATGAACATCAGTCAGACCTACACTGTACAAATCATTACAGCTTTATCCTTTGACATTTAAACACTCTTTTTCTTCTGGGGGTGGACAGGCTTGATGTATGCTCTATAGGTACGCTCTCAAAGACATTTCTTGTTCCCTGGTGACCCTGTCCTCTGCACGGTCAATAAGTCTGAAGTCCCTTAACACTGCAGTGAATTCAATTGCAGGTCATATACTGTAACTCCGAAGCTTGCATACAACACTTTAAATATTACTGGTTACTTTAGCAGAAAAACATACAACACTACCGTTTATATTCTAATAACCACATGTTATGCACTAATAATTATACTTTTTTAATGAAATTAATACTTAATATTAAATTGATGAATAGAGGCAGTAAAGGCATTTACCATTTCCAAAAGATATGTATTTCAAATAAATACTGTTATCTGTTACTGTTTCAAATAAATACTGTTACCGTTTTAATTTTTAAGTTTTAGTAATTGTGTTGTTTTGTTGTGTTTTTGTCGTTTTTAGCTGTCATTTTTTATGTCTATATAGTTTCATTAATTTCTATTCTGTTTTAGTTGTTTTAGTACAGAAATTTTAGTACAAAAAAGTTATTTATGTTTTTAATCTTAGTTTTGGGTTAAGTTTTAGTTAACTGTAAATGGCCCTGTTTTAAATGGCAATAACTCTTAATTTGCTGTTTATTAATAGTAAGGTAGTTAAGTTTGGGTATGGGGTAGGATTTAGGGATCTAAAATATGGTCATGCGAAATAAGGTATTAATATGTGCTTTGTAAGTACTAATAAACAGCCAATATGCTAGTAATATGCATGCTAATAAGCAACTAGTTAATAGTGAGAATTGGTCGTTAAAATAAGTGTTACCGTTTACACTTTTTGGCCAACTTAACCTACAAATTGCCTACTTAGTTGTCTCTGCGCATTAAGCTGAATATTTTAATATCTTAAATGAAATTCTACAGTCTACTTTAATGAATTTCCTTTTCTTTTTTTTCAGTTTAGCCCAAACAAATATTTTAATATCACAGATCATTTTAAAGCAGAAAATAGCAAAAACTACAAAAGATTGAGTACTGTCTTTTACTGCAGAGCACAAATCGATGTTTCAAAATTTCAGCAGAGGATATGTTTCATACACAGGAAACTGCAGCTAGAGAGCTCAAGTTATCGGTAAACCCCTGCATTAGTATAAGCCAAAAGTACTCTAACCTCTCACCCTATCTAAACCAAGTGTAAATATATAGTGATACCACCGAGAAACGGTTTCACCAGGCTCTTTTAAATTAAGCCCTGCCTTTAAATAGCAGTCAGAAAAAGAGAAGTGTGAAAAGAGCAGAGCGATGTTGAACGCAGAGCTGCAGAGGGGACCGTTGGTAAGGCTGAGAGGGTTCCTGTGGAGCTGTATTAAGACGGACTCTTCACAACTGGGTTCAGTGACAGCTCTGAAGCAGGAGTATACAGTGGACCAAGAGACTCGGATAGAAGTGGAAAACTGAGAGGGCTTTATTAAGAGGACTTTATTCAGGGGCTTTATTAAGGGAAGTCAGAAGAAGGAAGGCAAACATTTGTTGGCTGGTAAGTAAAGGACAGTCACATCAAGCTGTATGCTTTTTGTTGACGTGACAGATACAAAAGATTAATTATTGGTTTACAATTTATTGAGTGAGAGCTTTGGGGAGAAAAAATATTGATTGAACTGAGGTTTACGTGAGATTTTCTGTTGGAATGAGGCACAAGAGATATATGGATGGATGGATGGATGGATGGATGGATGGATAGATAGATAGATAGATAGATAGATAGATAGATAGATAGATAGATAGATAGATAGATAGATAGATAGATAGATAGATAGATAGATAGATAGATAGATAGATAGATAGATTGAGATATAGGCATAGACAGACAGACTGTTATATACTTTAGACTAGGATTTGGCTGGTATCTCATGAAAGTCTCTGATATAGAGAGAGTACAGGTAGGAGAGGCAATGTGGTCCAGCCATGGAAACAGAGCTCTACTGGTGGTTGCCAGGAGACAGGCAGAGGGGGATATATTGCCTCTTAAGTGATAAACAGGCTGAGAGGAGCCATCTTTGCGTTGTCTGCCATAAGCAAAGGATACTACTTGATATGAAAGATTTCAAAGCCTAGGTTTGAAACAGCCAGATTCTTATTTCGAACACTGCCAAAATGCACATGTGTGTCTCTTGGGAAATGGCATGATAGGTTTTGCGTTATTATCAGTGCCATGATAATCCAGCTATTTTATTTCTTGAATGTTTCTAGATAGTAGTGTGTCCAGAATTATTCCTCTAATGCAAGCAATTACCAAGAGAAGCGGCACCATTTGGTGTCCATTGCCAACTATAATTGATATTTAGTGTATGCAAACGGTACAACATTATGTTCTAACCAAATGCAATGCAATAATGCAACAAGCAGCAAAAACATTTATTCTATGCAAATCAGAGTTTTTGTCCAAACCAGCAGTGAACGCCACAGGCAACTGGATGTTTTGTCAATCATTTAGTTTCTATTTATGTTTTGTTGAGCTGGTTAGCCCCATCCATGGTGAAATCTCATTGGTTCAAAATACCACTTCACATAAATTTGTCATGTGACGTAGCATTTTTAGTTTCAGTATGGACAGTCAGATTTGCTATAAATGGGATTCACAGCTAGTAAGGACAGGCAGACCTCAGCTATGTGCTATTATGCAGGGTTAGTGCGAGTTCATTTAATATTATCATGCCATTATAGTAAGTTACTGTACGTCTCAAGTCACACAATGCTAAATCACCACCAAAAGGTTTTTGTTCCCGCTTGTGTAGTTTGTCATGATCACTGAATTATTTCTGCTCCTTTCCTGCATTATATTCAAATGCTGCATCGCAACAAACAACATGGTAGCAGAAAATAAGACTAACATTATATTAACATCTTTATGCATTAATTTGATCACACCACCATAATGAAGAAAAATAAGGAAAATTAATAAAAAAAACATATTCCTGTACCCATAACAAACACTGTATTACAGCAAGATTACAACACTTTGTCAGAAGGATTATTTTGTTAAACTATTACAGCCACAAACAGCCTTTTCATTACAATCAATGAAAAAACTAGCATAATTTTCCAGATTTTCACAATACACAGTTTGGTCTCTTACCACAGCGTATGACAACATCCAGTGTTTTCGCAGTGAAAATACACACTGCCAGTCTAGGGGTCTTGCTAATGAGTATCATCTAGGCTGTATTTCTTTGTACTGTATGTATTTGTCTTCCTTGCCCAGGTTTGCCGGCCATGGGGAACCTCATTAAGGTCCTTGGCAAGGATTTAGAGAACTGTCCTCATTTTTTCCTGGATTTTGAAAGTAAGTGTTTCGCTGGTGTATGGTGTGTGTGTGTGCTCAGATGTGTGTATGTGTGTGATTGGAGATGGAGGTATCAGGGTTGGAGCAGGTGTAGACGCACCCTCTAGGTGGATTAAGATAGACTGAAGTTTTTGTTTTGTTTGTTTGTTTTTGGAAACTGTTTCTTTTTGCTCTCTTCATGATTCTATTCATTTGTTTCCATTCATGTACATAAAGAGAGCAGAAAGAAGGAGTTTCAATGTGATCCATGTGTGACCATATCAACATCACCTGAGAATCTTGACACCTAAAGTCCATCCCACACCCTATACGCCCCCGGCCCCCATCCCAAACTCCATGCACATTCACACAAACACACACCCAACACCAGACACACGTCTGTCACACCTCCCATGACCCATACGCTTCTCCCTTCTCTCTGTTCCAGGGGGATCATGGGAAATCTCCTGAAACTGCCGGCTTGCACCGAACTTGAGCATGGCCCGATAGTTTTCCTTGACTTTGAACGTGAGACCATTAGCTTCTTATGTTTTGAGTTTGCTTTTCTTTCCCTTTTGATCACGGTTCCTTGTCATTCGCTGTCCTCTACATTTTCACTTCCTTTTCTCCGCCATCCCTCTGTTTGTGCATCAATGCCTGGCATTCAAGTTTTTTTTTTGGTGACCTCGATTTGTGACGTGATTTTTTTTTGCACTTATCTCCAGGTCGGCTGTGATCCGCTGAGCTAAAGGTCGTCGTACGAATGCCACGCTTTTTTAGCAGTTAGAGTGGGATGGAAAACAATCACATAACACTTAACTAATCTCCTTTTTTTTGCCCAAAACTTTGCAGATTTGTAAAGTGTGTTGGCTCCATAATCTGTTTCTGTGTGTCCTTGTGCATCTGGCTGTGTGTGTGGTGTGTGTGAATGCATAATTAACCAGTCTAAGGATTTAAGGAAGTGGGAATGGAAGCTGCCTATTGAAAGGGGAGCCTCAATTTCCTTTTTCTCTGATGCTGTGTTCCCTTTTAACCCTTACCTAAGCACTTCTGTCCCTCCTGAGTAATCCTTCCTTTTATGACACCTCTAACAGCTACATGCCTAGCATCTCCTTTTTTTATGGAGGAAATAAAACTCCTGTGCCTCAAGTGTGAGAACCCGGAAGACTTAGAGCGTTTGCTGTCCAGTCATAACATGTAGGCTGTCCTTCCTCTTAGAATATTTTAATTGGTTGGAGGCATTCTTCAAGAGACACAAGACATACAGTATAATGCATTTGTCTGTAATTCATTATAGGGTCAATGACATAAGTTCATTTTCTTCCAAATATATTAGTTAATTGATCTGAATAAACCTCTTGTATAATGGACATCTGTTCAATTTGAATTTGTCAGATAATTTGACATTTTAAAGGCAGAAAGTTTGGTTCAGGTTGTCAAAAGCCAAACTGATAAAACATTGTATTTAAGAAACACTTTAAAAAAAATAATAATATTATATAAAAATGTCTTTCACTTTTGAAAATTATAATTATTACTCATATGCATTTACGGTGTAAAGGAAATATGAAAAAAATATTTTCTTGAAGGTTATACCACATTACATTTTTTAACATAATTTATTAAATGAAAATGTTGAAAACGGTATAAAAACAGTAAAAAAAACCACAAAAAAACCCAAGCAGCACACAAATAAAAAATTTGCAAGGCCTTGGCATGTGTATGTTAAACACATTTTTTAAGATGTCTACTTGACAATTCTTACTTGTCATTGACCCTATAGCAGAATTTATAATAATACAAAAAAAAAAGGACAACAGCCGCTCTCCCGATCAGCGAAACAATGATCACCTGTGTTACACTGGTTTACATTTGCTCAGTTCTGAAATGGGGTTAGTGTGCTATTAATGGCATTCATAAAAATTCAATATCTTCAATACAAGACACAATGGTACAGAAAGAGGCTTTGAGCCCAAGATCAGATCACTTTTACTGAAGAGCTGATTATACATGTGATTAACCAAAAGGAGTGTGTGGTGCAAAATAAAAGTGTGCAAAAGGGAAAGCAAACATTACATTGCTACTGTAGCATTGTTCTTTGAAGATCACAGGCAGGATGAGCAAACAGACCTGGAGGTGACATGACTGGGAGGAGCCATTGGTAATTTCACTTAAGTTTAGAGTGTATGTTTGTTCAGCTGATAGCACAAACAGCTATGTGTGTATTCAGTCAAACACTGACAGAGTTGCATCAAGGACCTCTGATAGGGGTAACTGCTTCTGTAAACATTGCAAACCCTGAATGGATGCAGGATGAGGGAGTGTGCTTGAAAAGCAGGCTGAGATGCTCTGCTTCATGCAGATCACTTACTGTATACAGGGCCTTGGGAAGACTAAGAAATCTGATCTAACGAAGACTGTTAATAACAGCATTTCCCAAAATGCCTCCTGCTGCAGTTTTTACACTGCAAACTCCATACACAGTATAAAAATAAAGGTTCTTTATTGACATATATGGTTTCATGAAGAACCTTTCCATTCCACAAAAGGTTCTTTACAGTGAAAAAATATTTTTTAGATTCTTAAAATGTTCTTCACAGTAAAGGGGTGGTCAAATTAGCTAAATTTAGTGTGCAAAAACAAATCCTTTGTCCATAGTAAATAGCATAGATATATATTAAGCACAGCTCACACAGAAGTCACTTTCAAACCAAGCAGCTTCTGTTAGTCAGCATGGAGAATTTGCATGACCAGTTTGATCATGAACAAAATCTGCATTGATGAAAGTCCCAATCACATAGATTCCTACTGAAATGACTAATAAGGAATGTTTCTCTCAAAAATGAAAATTTGCTGAAAATTTACTCACACCGTAGGCTGTCTGGGATGTAGATGAGTTTATTTCTTCATCAGAACAGATTTGGAGAAATGTAGCATTACATCACTTGCTTACCAATGGATCCTCTGCAGTGAATGGGTGCCGTCAGAATGAGAGTTCAAATAGCTGATAAAATCACAATAATCCACAAGTAATCCACACCAGTCCATCAATTAACATTTTGTGAAGTGAATAGCGTGTTTGTAAGACACAAATCCATCAAGACGTTTTATGTTTAATAATCCACAATAACTCATCTTCCAGTGAAAAAGCCTACATCAAAATCCACTGACATATTTGTTTAGAACTGTTTTGGACTGCTATCTTTTGTAAACGGTGTTTGTTCTGTACATATTTCTCTCCTGATTCAGATTAGATTAATTTTTTTAAGCAATATTATGAACCAAGGAATTCATCAATCCATCTTAATGATGGATTTATTTCTTACAAACACGCAGCTTTTCACTTTACAAGATGGTAATTGATGGACTGGAGTTGTGTGGATTACTTGTGGATTATTGTGATGTTTTTATCAGCTGTTTGGACTCCTGTTTGGATGTACTGCATATCCTGTAGTTGAAAACTAAAAGCTAAATAGAGGTCCACAAACTAAATTGACGTCCACCAGAGCATGATATTCTGTTTGCTTTCCTGCCTGCTATCATCAGCCTATTAATCAAATGCCTGATGCTTGCTGGGTTGGAAGCTGACACAACTCTTTAAACCCATCCTAGCCTTGCCAGCAACTCCATATGGAGCTGCTTCATTGGCCGTGGCCTTTCATCGACATTTCCCACCAGAGCTGTTAATTTCAGCCCTAACAAATTCTGACACAAACTAAATCCTCCTCATGTACTTCCGACTCACAATAACAATAACATCATCATCATTACCAGATTAATCCATATGGATTTATGGTTCCTATCTTTCAAAGCTTGTTGGAAAGCGCTTTCCCACTCCTGGTGCCAAAAGATGAAGATAATCCAATGTTAGCACCAAATTAACTCACACCATGAAGCTTTCTTGTAATTATTTGTCCAGTTTTCAGATGCAACTCTGACTTGACTGGTTGAACGCAGCCCAATTTATCCAAAACAAAACCCATCAGGACAATAAGAAATTATATCAGTATGATAGTGTGACAAAGGTGATCTATAATTGAAAGAGGACTGTGTATATTTTGAGCATTTATGTACAGTTGAGGTCCAAATTAGAGAACAATCTTTAAATACTTGTTTTTTTTCTGAAATATTGTTAATCTTCATCGCTCAAAATTTGAAGCAATATTAGCTGTAGGTATACCACTGATCCACTAACATGTTTGACAAAATAACCAAGGCATTTCAACAAAAACCTTTATTTTGTGGAAAACACAGTGATCAAAATTAGAGAACAGTAACCACTGTAGAACGAAAGACGATTACAAGTAAATGGTTACAGCTGTCAGAAATTTGTAGGAAGTGTAGAGGCCCTCGCTTTGAATGAATTCAGCACATCTGCGGCTCCAGGACATCACTAGTTTCTCACACTACGCTAGTGTGATCTTGGTCCACTCTTCTTCCTCTCTCTTCCACTCGTGGGTTGGCTTTGTTGCCAAGGATTTTCCAGAGATTTTCAATTGGGTTTAGATCAGGACTCTGGGCCTGCCATTTCATTATCTCAATGTTCTTGCTTCAAGGAACTGATTTACCCATTTTGCAGTGTGACGGGGTCATTGTCTTGAATGAAAATTGCAGGCGGATTGGGAGATGCTTGCAGGGAAGGAACTGCATGCTGCGGAAGGAGGTTCTGATAAACATATGCATTGTCCCTGCCATGTAGCTGTACTGTATAAGTACAGCTAACTCCTGCTGCATAGAACATCCACCAAACCATGACACTTCCTCCTCCACCTTTCACTGACTTCTTTATGCACTCGGGCTTCAGTCTTTCCCCAGTTTGATGCCAAACAAAATGTTTCCCATCAGACCCAAATAAATTAAACTTGTTCTCATCACTAAAGTGAACTTTGGACCAGCTCTCCTCTCTCCACACAACATGCTCATCAGCAAAGGTGAGCCTAGCCTTTTGATTCTTCTTGCTGATGAGAGGCTTCATCGCTGCAGAGTGTGCTTTCAGTCCGACTTCTCTTAAAAGTGCCGAGACAGATCCTTACCCTGTTCAGCACTGACCTGGCGAGCAATTCCAGCTGCAGTGTTGAACCGATTCCCCATTGAGAGTTTTCGCATTATCCTGTCTTCTCGTGCATTTGTCTTACGTTGATTACCAGCCTTTAAAAAAAAAAAAAATGTGTCATTGTAAAGTTGCAATATTTGAGACATCACGATTTGGAACGACCAACTTCTCTTGCAGTGGCTGAAAGGGTCATCCCTTTAGCCTTCATCTGGACAACCTCCTGTTGCAGGGTTTCAGTCACCTTAGAGCAACCCGGCATCATGCAATCTCAGTGAAAATTGGAGGAATTCTGCCAGTTAAATAGGGTTTGTCATATAATTAAGGAAGTTAGCACCAATAACTTGGAGGTATCTGTAAGTGTTCTCTAATTTTGATCAGAGTTTTTTTTTATTTATTTTTTTAAATATCTCATTTAAGTTTTTTATACTGTGCTTCACAATACATTTAATTTATGAAATATGTTTAAAAAGCTGCCCTTCTACTCCTGTTAGGACAACTTCAAATAGGACTAAGCAGTGACCTTGAAATTTAGGAAATTGTAGGTTGTTCTCTAGTTTTGATCGCCACTGTATATCTATCACATTCTGACCAACTCAATCTGACTTCTGTCCACAGATGCTCAGCCCACAGAGGCTGAGACAGCTGTGTGGAACCAGGTTAGTGCCGTGCTGGAAGAAGCCCATGGGATACTGGCGGAGTTACAGTCTTACAATGGAGCAGGACAAGAAATAAGAGAGGTGGGTCTATTTTTACATTTATTAGTTGTGCTTACCTTTGCAAAACCTGCTGCTACAATGCTAGATTGCTCCCAGTGGTTGTTTACTTATCCAAGTCAAAATACTGAGCCCATCCAATTCTAAAATGCAACTAACTAACACTTTTTTTGCCTGTTTTATCCTCCAGGGTAATTTTATAAGCATGATTAGAAAAGTAACAGAACATGTCTTATCTAAATGCTGCATGATTTGAGATATCATGCATGTATAGTACAATTTTTGTTGTGAATCAGTTTAAGCTGGAAAATATTTTGCAAGTCACTAATGTAAAATTTGATAAATAGACATACCATCAATACAGTATGTCGGGGCAATAATTGACAGAATCTTTTTTTTTTTTTTACATAATATATACACTACCATTCAAAGTTTTGTGGTCTGTCAGATTTTTTAAATGTTTTTGATATAAGTCTTTTTTGTTCACTAAGCCTGAATTTCAAAAATCTAAAATAGATTAAAATGTAATATTGTGAATTATCATTACAATTCAAAATAATTGTTTTCTATTTTAATGTATAGTAAAATGTAGTTTATTCCTGTGAAAGAAAAACTGAATTTTCAGCATCATCACTTCAGTATTCAGTGTCACATGATCCTTCAGAAATTATTCTAATATGCTGATTTGGTGCCCAGGAAACATTGATTATTATCAATGTTGAAAACAGTTGTGCTGCTTAATATTTCTGTGGAAACCTTGATATATATATATTTTTTATATTCTTTTTCTATTAATATAAAGTTCAAAAGAACACCCTTTATTTGAAATAGAGATCATTTGTAACATTATAAATGTCTTTACTTTCACTTTTGATCAATTTTACTATTTTTTTCAATTCAGTGAATTCAATTCTTCTTTTTTTGGTCCTCAATTCAAACACTGGGCTATTTGTACAAACCCCTAACTAGAGTAATAGTGTTGCTTACCTTAGAACAAACCACTAATAATGATTCATTCTGAGCCAGGAACCATTTCATCAGTTATAAAGCACATATAGGATTTGAATCATTCTGGTCCATAAACAGCAAATGTGCAGGAGTTATTCAGCTGTGAATGTTTCACATTGCTGAATAAATCTCACAATGTAAATTGATTTAAAGTATACAAATGACCTTGAGTTTATAGTCAGTGTAAATGAAGTTTTTTTTTTGGACAGTTGTGGTTTCAAGTGTTCTCGCTTGTCCTTCTCTCCAGGCGATTCAGAACCCCAATGATCTCCAGTTGCAGGAGAAAGCCTGGAATGCAGTATGCCCCCTAGTGGCCAAGCTCAAGAGATTCTATGAATTTTCTCTCAGGCTAGGTAAGTGGGTGGCCATTTTTTTCCAATTGTCTTTTTTTATAGTCAAGTAATGGGCCTTGTGTGCACGAGTCATCCAACGCACTGACCGTGCGTACAACGATTGGTGCAAGCATCCATTTCTGTCCTCCTCTGCAGCTGACCTCTAACGAGTTGGCATGGCAACCGCAGCAGCAGAGCGTAGAGGAGGCTGCGTTTCTGCCTCCCATGCTCACTGACAATTCAGTATACTGTTTGCAATAGTCGATCAGCTGCCTCTTTTTTCACAGCAGTGCTGACTAGTGAGAAACGCAGATCTCCAGCCAGACAGATAACATGCATATAAGCTTTTCCCTGCCAAGGTATGGCATCGCAGTGACTCATGAGAAAAAGAGGCCCCACCCTCTTCAACACATCCTGCTATCCCCAATATCTGGTCCCCGGCTAATAGAGTCAGATTTCTCGGTAGGTCTCCAGATAAAATTATCAGCTTCTTATTTATAGTAGGGCTGTTACATATTTGATGAGAGGAAAGGATAGCTCCTCTGGAGACATGCTTAGGCATACCAATGACATTCAGACATGGCTTAGCTTTGACGGTGTAGCTGTATGTCTTCTCGTCGCCAAACAGGAAACAAATGCTAAGAGCTTTACACCAGTAAGGAGTAGAGCACAGACCAGACCTACAGCATGAATTCACTCTCACAACATTAATGCAGTTATAATATTGATGAAACTGCATTAACACTGCTTATGAAATGTCTCACTGAAATACTTGATTCAATAATGCCATTGAGTGCTCATATATTTTTGTATAATGACGTCTAAACTGGATATTTCATCATCATATATGACAATATACTGATGCTACTTTCATAGCTGTCATATGTCAATATGGCCTAGGAGTACTTAATACTAATATTAATTGCAATATATATCCTGTGGTGAGCATAAAATCTTTGATAGATGACTAGAAGCTCAGAAGTATCCAGTTAAAGCAAGAAAACCGAACATTGTGGCTAGAAATGATTCCATTGAAAAGGTAACTTGGCTGTGTATAATAACAATAATATAGAGATATAAGAATACGAAAACAATAAAGATAATATAGATATAATAATAAGAACAGAGATAAAAGAATAATAAAAAAATAATAAAGAAAAAATACATTATTTAATTGTTTATTATTTTATTTAAACATTTATTATTGTTGTTGTTAATAATTACTATTATGCAAGGTGCATATATCTAGTGTAATATTGTGAAATATTATAAAATGACATTTATTCCTGTGACAGCAAAACTGAATTTTCTTCAGTGTCACATGATCCTTCAGAAATCATTTTAATATTCTGATTTGGTGCTCAAGAAATGTCTTATTATCATCAGTGTTGAAAACAGTAGTGCCTATTAATATTGTTCATATTGAGTTAATTAAGTTAATATTGCAATAGTGTTCTTGATGCTTTGTTGCTAACTGTTGTGAGAGATAATTAATTAAATTCATTAATTTAAACATAAATCACTATTTCACGTTCATATATTTATACATTTGGTAAGCCACCATGTAATAACTGGGATAACGTAGTCGGCTGGTCATTTTATTCTTTATTAATACATTAGTATTCCTTATTATTTTTTTAAGGGAAGTCGTGGCCTAATGGTTAGAGAGTCGGACTCGTAACACAAAGGTTGTGGATTCGAGTCTTGTACCGGCAGGGATTGTAGGTGGGGGGAGTGAATGTACAGCGCACTCTTCCACCTTCAATACCACGACTGAGGTGCCCTTGAGCAAGGCACCGAACCCCCAACTGCTCCCCAGGTGCCTCAGCAACAATGGCTGCCCACTGCTCCGGGTGTGTGTTCACGGTGTGTGTGTGTTCACTGCTGTATGTGTGCACTTTGGATGGGATAAATGCAGAGCACTAATTCCGAATATGGGTCACCATACTTGGCCACATGTCACTTCACTTTCACTAGTTTGGAGTTTGGTTATTAAATTAGTTTTAAAAGCAACCAGAAACATGCATTAATTATCATGGTCATATACTGCAGTTGGAAGTCATTAATGCTTGCATCAGCTGCAGCTTCCAATGTTCTTTGAATAAATTGCAGCAACTACAAAAATACAAAAGAGAGGCGTTAGAGGCAAATACAATGGTAACTGTTGTGCTGGTAACCATGGAGATCAAGTACACATATTACAGAGCTTCGCTTTTGATACATTATGTTGGTATGCCATGTGGATTACATTAGATTAAAGGCCAGAGGTGTGTGTGTGTGGGGGGGGGGGGGGGGGCGGAGAGGAGAGGGTGGGGGGGGGGGGGGTCATCATATGACCCCTTTAAACTTCAAAAGACTATGATTTCATAAAAGAGCGCTGTACATTGCAGTGTAACAAGGCGGCGCTGTTGCGCGTTCGTCAGGCTCGCACAACAGCGCTTCAGGCTGCTTCAAAGTGATTCTCAGTCAGTGAATAGCGCACGTTTATGCCAAGCGATTGCTTATGAACTCGATTTGATGAAATATGACATGACAATGTCTACTTTATGACCTTTTTTATAATATGTTTTAGACGGTTGTAAGAATGCATATTGGGGGGGGGACAGAAGATAAAAGGCTTTGGAAAGCTTGAGGGACGACATCAGCATTCACAGTGAATGAATTTGAAAAGACAAATTGCTACAGAGAAGTGACTGTATAAACTGTAAGGGACAATACAATCTGAAATCAATATGTGTTTGCAGAGAACGCCCTGCGCAGTCTTTTGGAGGCCCTCACTAGCCCACCCTACGCTCCCATCCAGCATCTGGAGAGAGAGCAGGCCCTCGCCAAACAGTTTGCAGAGATCCTGCACTTCACGCTCAGCTTTGATGAGCTCAAGGTGAGCGATTCTCACACATTACTCACTTTGAGTTCATGTGGCATGAGCTCCGCTAAAATGTTTTAGACCTGCACTCAGTCAGGCCTCTTCACCCTGATGTTCTCAGAGAATCACGTCGAGTAAAATGTCTAAATGATAACACTATTAGCTGGTCTGTCTCTACAGGAAATAATCTAGGATATAATTCTTCACAGTCAGATGCATGATTTGCCTCAACATTTCTCTCACTGCTTGAAGTCAGTAGTATCCATAATAATCTTTATTGTAGATGCTTCTGACATTTTTAAATCCTGTCTTTTGTAGATGACAAATCCAGCCATACAGAATGATTTTAGTTACTATAGGAGGACCATCAGCAGGAATCGGCTGAACAACCAGCAGGCAAGTTCACAATCTGTTGAAATTGACATTACTACTCAGAAACTTTGGTGTACTGTTTAAAATAAGATATCTAGACACTTGCTGGATGCCAGTGGATCACATGCACAGTTCATCATATTAACTGTGCATGTGATCCACCATGAGACTAGTTGGTTTATAGTCACTGCAAACTGGCTTGTAAAAGTGAAGCTAGCATCATTGGTTTGCAAGTCTCTTTATTTGATAGTATCTAATGCAATGAAATTCATACACTT